TTGCTCCATAGCAAAACCGGTGCATACCAAATTAATAATAATCTTTTTTTTTTTCAATCCAGTTTTTTACTACACTTTTTATCTGGTACTCGTGAATATGCCATGTACCTCTCAAGGTTTTGTCCTAATTTAATTTTATGCTAGTTCAAATTTGTCTGTGGCTACAAGATAGTAGGTTAGAATTTATCTCAGATTTTCTACATAATAAATGTGGCTACAAGAAAGCTGATGTGATGTAGGTTGGAAAATTTCTCAGATTTTGATAAAGCAAAGAATATGCAATAGCTTTCAGATGTATTTTAGGGTTCGAAAATTTCTCTGATAAATCAGTTAGCTATCGACTATCACCTTATTGAATCGGCTAAAACTCATTCGTTATCAGCTCAGTGATGAACAACTTCCAAGCCCTCCGACCAAATCAAGTGACACCAATATAGCTTCAAACAGCTTTGTCCCAAAACCCTCTTGCCAATACTCATGACCACGGTTTAGAACCAGCCTAGACCGTTGACCCGGTACATGAACCAGTCTGGCATTTGGTTCGGGTCGGTTTGGGTTCATGTTTAAGAAAAATTGAACCGTGGGTCCAAGTTCGACACAAAAAATCTAATTCCTAATTTATTTTTTTCTTAATTTTTTATTATTCTTTATTTGTTTTTTCAGTCTTTCTTGTTCAGGCTTTCGGCCTGAATCGCCGGGCTAGTTTGGCAGTTCCATTCAACCAAAAATTGAACCTAGAATCGATGGAACCGGCTTGAACCGACTTTTTGCTATATCTACTTGCCAACATCAAAGTCAACTCTTACGCTCGCAAGCTCTCGTTTTAAACGAGTTACACACGAGAATCCGACCTGCAGATGTGATTAGGGGTGTTCATCGGTCGGTTCGGTCGACCGTCCGAACCGAACTAGTAAAACCGAATTAACCGAATTTCTAAATTTTAGAAACCGAACCGACCGAATTAAGGCCTAAAATCGAAGTTTAACCGAACCGAATTGTTCGGTCGGTTCGGTCGGTCAACCGAATTTTTACCAAAAAATAAATAAATTATAATATTATAAATTTATATATTAATATTATATTATAATATAATATTAATATATAATATAATATA